TAGGTTAAGGGCAAAGTCACATAATAGTGGTTAGTTAGCTCTGCAGCTGCCCAGATCCCTTTTCCCTAAAGACTGGGAACCTGGGTGTATAAGACATACCCAAAGAGTAGAAACTGGACAGCGAGAGTGAATCTTCCAAGGGAGGCGTTTACAGAACAATAACAAATTATTCACTTTCGATAAACTTGAAATGCTTTAAAAGCCTCTTCAAGTTCAAATTGTTTATAAATGAGTAACAATATACCCCCTTAATAGCTGTGTGCTTTGCCCACAGAAAACATGGAAGCTTACTTAAGGAATGTACACAGCATGTTTATTTTTCACAGTGGACAGAAATAGACCTATTTTTCTAATTAGAGAACCAATGTATGCATTGAATGAAAACCCATTTATTTTACTAACTGTTTACTCCTATTCCATATATAGATTGCTGGCAGTGCACACAAATTAGTGGTTTGCTGCTACAGAACATAAATTAGATTTTATGAACGCCAGGTATTGTTTTTTTCTTTTATACTTAATGAATAGTTATTTATACTACGTTTTCTGCTATAAATACCAGTCTACAATGTTATGGCTGTTACATAACTATCTGGCAACACAAAGTGTAGTGGTAAAACTTGACACCCCAATTATAATTCTAACAAAGTGTTGTATAATACCTACCGTAACTAATTTCAGGAGTCATTCAGCCAAATATTGTGAATATTACACTTAGATATTAATTAACATAGAAAAAAATAACCTTCCTAAGAAATTAAGGCTTCTCCATAAGTAGTTTAAGACGATTTCTATTTAAAATAGTAAAAGAAACGAAACATATTCACTTGTTAATCATTTTGTTGATCATGGTTAAGGGAAATTTTAAATTTAATTGAATACAAATTTAGCTATAGTCAGCTTATTTAAGTTTACAAGCAGTCAAGAAATATCAATCAGTAACCTATTAATATACCTGTGCAGAAATTAGAATATTCACTTTGTTTACCTTCATCACAGTTTGCACAATCCTTTGCACCAGATTCACCATACTTCTCATAGAACTTGTGGAGGAAGCTGCAGCTTCATCTCACATGATTCTATGAAGTGTACTCCAGTCAGTGTGGTAAAGCTGCAGTGGTTTCATCCAGGGGATGGTGTTTGGAACAAATTGACCTGCATCTTTAAAGGCTCAGAAATTGACAGCATTGCTAACTATAAGGATTTAGTTAGATGATTGACCAAATGAAAAGTAAGCTAGTCATAAATGACTAGACTTCACTTCGATCGCTCAATTTACCCATCCACGCTAAACAGCATGGATGGAAGAATCTCCCTTATATTGTATTGTATCCAGATCGTCTGAATATTCAAACAAACCTTGTAGTTCAAAACCGCACTTCTTGCAGCCAATGAGACCAGAATAATAAAGCGGTGCTCATAGTGACAGCAAAGGATGGCATCGTGCAGAAATCACAAGAGAAAAGTCACCAGCATTCCAGAGATGTGAAATAATCAACTCAGATTCATTCCTAATGCGTCACATACATAAATGACCCAATGTTTTGGGACCACCCCGCATGACCAAAACGTTGGGTCATTTCGATATTTGATGCAGTAACTGTTTGGCTGTCAATTCAGAGGTGCCAACAGGGCCACCCTCAGCTCTAATTTAATCTCGTTCAGCTGTGTATGGCCAACTTGTAGGCTTGCAGTCACTCTGCAGGCTGGATGAGTCGGCTACATAAAATAATTTCATATTTGACTGGAGTGAACTTCAAGACTAGTGTCACCTTGATAAAAATGTGTTTAAAGCCAAAACCTTTTTTTTGTGTTGGATAGAGTAGAGAAACCCTGTCAGTTTCTTTCTTATGTCTGTGGCCCAGTGGGGGGATTTCATTTTACTTTATGTCGTAACATGTGAGATGTGAGAGGAAATATCTACACAGTTAAGAGAATTTCTCTCTTAGGCAGTTGTAATATTTTGGATTTTCCAGCACTTTATGACAGCAGTCACCAGGACAAATAGAAAGGGTAAAGCTATGTAGTGGGTATCCTTTCAATAAAAACTTTACAAAAATGAAGAAAGGAGTGCCATACCATTTGTTATGAGTCCAACATACAATATTTGTTTGATTTCCTCAAATGCAAGTAATCTATGACAGGGTGTACACTATCTCTGGCAAGGCTGCTCCAAATGTACGAAAGGTCCACAAGGGGACACTTTCAGTCAAATCTAAAGAAAAGAAGAATGAAGCACCAGAACATTTATTATGAGTCAAAAATAGAATATTTATTTCCTCATATTACATATGCCAATGTGTGTTGGGGCACATTCAATACCAATGAGTGTGTTGGGGCTTCCACCTGCCCCGTCACATATCTTGGGGAAGCTTGAAATGACGAGGGCAGCCTCTCTTGTAGCTCCAGTCCGAGAACCCCTGAGTGGTAGAACAGGCGTACCAAGGCACAGAGTGGCACGAGTGCTGGGAGATACCACTACTGATAGAAGACACTGGTCTCTGAGAAGCACTTCAGGTGGAGGTAAACGCAGAAGATGCTACACCAGTGCATACAGTGCAGAACAGATTGTAATTGGATGCAGGGTGAGTTGTCAACGTGCAGGCAGTGCAGACAGGAGCGTTGTCAAGAAACAAGCCAAGGTCAGGAATGTGCAGGCAACATGGTACAAGGCATAAAGCAGAAGCAAGGTCGGGGGACAAGCCGTGGTCATGGGAATCTGGAGCAGCAGAAGAATGGTCAAAACAAACCCGGTCAGTATTGGGTAATCAGAATCAGGATCACAAGTATTTAGGGAAGCTGAAGATCACACAGCAACGAGAGCTAAGGTGTCACAGTCTAAATAGCCCATCTGGTGCCACAATTCAAAGTATGTTCACATGCACGCCTGTGCACAGGCTGAGTGTGTGCACAGACATGTGCGTGCTTGTGCAGAGGCGCAAGGTCAGACATGATTCTAGAAACCAAACCAGAAGTATGTGCAGACGCTCTCGTACCACCTCTGGTTCTAGCTTCTTGACAGCCCCTTTATCTGGGCTAGAAAAGTATGCTTTTTCTTAATTAAAATATAAACAAGTATAACATTTCAAAATCACGAAAACATTTTTAAAAAAAATAGTCAATCCAGGTCAAACAATTGAGTTTATTAGAAATTATCAACTTATGCTTTAAAAATATAATTATGCTGATGCTTTAAAAACGATCTTTATTCAAATATACTGTATGTATTTGATCTATTATAAAAATAATTGAACTTAACAACATTTAATTTTAAGGTAGAAACAGTCTATCAATAATACTGTATCCTTCAAATTGCTGATTATAGTGACTAGTTCTACTCTTTCTTGGCAGATTATGGATTGCACGATGCCAGTGATCGGTGAGCATCAAGCAGAGGATCGACAAACAATTGCTGATTTAGTAGTGACCAGGATGAATCAGGCTCTGTCCAAAACTCCAATTCCCTCCCCACAGAGACCAACAGCAACCACCCAGCCACAGGTATCTAGATCCCAAATAAAAAGTCATATATCATTATCCTGAATACATACAGAAGCAAGCAATATCATGGTAAGTTATTAATTAACTGCAAAAAAAAAACAATTCAGCCATTTCTTTTGGATGTGGCAGTGGAGGAGCTATAGTGGTCAGGTAAGCCTCAAGACTGAATGTATAACACCTTGGCTTGACTGCTTGTACCCATCACATGTAGTGTCTGGTGCACTGTTGCTATTTGTAGGTAGGTTTTCTTGTAACCACTTAAATTGTATGCATGGCCAAACTTTTTTTTTCGGATAGAGTATGGAAGGGTTGAAGCTCCGTCAGTTTATTGTTTGTGGTCTTTGTCCGGTTTGGGAAATGACCCTTTACTCCCTGTCCAGGAGACAAGACAGGAAGGAAGACAAACAAGGTTATTCACAAAAGGGTGAAAAGTTTGGAGAAGGCAGAAGAAGTCAACAATCTAGGCCAACATAGCTGAACTGGAAAGTGAGCTGAATTGGAGATTGTTTCCAAATGAGCTATTCTGGCTTAGATTGTTCATGTGAAAATCTCTACAAAGTATGGGGAATACGCCTCTTAGTTGTCATCGGAGAGGTGCCCCCAGTACAACCTTCTGCTTTTGAATGCTTGGCCTTAAAGGAGAACTATGGGGTGAGTGAATCACACTCATCCCCATAGATAGAGCCGATGTGTGACATTAAAATTGTCACACATTGGCTCTACTGATCGGGAAGTGAGCGAAAACATACCGCCGCTCGCTCACTTCCCATTCATCTCCCTGCAGAGAGCGATGACTGTCAGTCGGCGGGCATAACTGAATCTGCCTCTAGATAGGCAGAGCCCGCTGTCAATCAGCCAGCGGGGTGGGTCTTGACAGTATTGTTGGGATCCGTCCAAGCTGCGGTGCTCTCAGCATATAGCAGGCAATAGCTCGCTATATACTGAGCTTTGGGTCACCGGAGGATGGAAGTATATGTTCACCGGTGACCCTAAAGAGAACTATGGGATGAAAAGGTTACCCCATAGTTCTTTTTTAACTACAATAAATTACAAATGGCAGCCTGAAAAAAAGAAATTTGAGACTTTGAGCAATTAAGTGTTGTGGCTGCCTAAGAAGCATAGATGTAAAATGGTTTTCTTTCCCCGTATGTATCTGAGATGGGATGCAAGAACACTGCTATACTTAAAGTTTAACTTACACTGCAATGCAAGGACTGCTTATTGCATACGACCCCCTCCCCCAAACTAAAATCACTGAATTATATCTGTGGAGAACATTAGAACATTTGCTTACCTTATAACACAAAAAGCTGAGGGGTAATTATATTTTCTAACTTTTCTCCACAGGTTCAACACAGTGATTTCAAATGTGGAGTGGGAGCAATATGGGGCATTTTAGTGTAAGGTCTGCTTTAAAGTGAGCCTGTATTAGTATCTACATGTGCTCTATTAACAATAGGCTTTAAGACAGGTCCTTACTAATCTATTTAGCTGCAGGTACTGTGGGGCAATTCATCACATCACTAAAAGTCTCAGCAGATGCACTGAAACTGTTTAAATGTCAGCAACTCAGCTCCCCCTGTTTCCCCTCCCAGAACTCCTGCTTTGTGGTTATATTACAGATTAGCAGGGTGGAAGGTGAAGCTGAACTGCTGAGAGGGAGACTTGAAAGGCTTGACTGTTTCTGTGGTAATATTTGCTCCATACTGCCTGCAGCTACAGAGGTATGTGAGGACTTGTTTAAAAACTCTGGGGATAGCAAATAAAGTGACACTAAACTAACTATTGATAAAAATGTATCTTATTTGTGTATCACTCGGCAGTAGATTCTCAAATCATCTCTGAATTAGTGCTGACACTGTCCTTCCTTCTGGACAGTGGTCACGACACACACAGGGACCAAGGTGAAAAAATGTAAAGTATCCACCACTCCAAGCTCACTCCCGTGATGGACTACAATCTCAATACAAATAAAAAAACTAAATGTGAGATTGTAGTCCATCATTGGAGTGAGCTTGGAGTGGTGGCTACTTTACAACACACACATGGACCATAGGGAACAAAAGTAACGGGTAGCAGGCTGTTCACTTTGCAAGGACATATTCTATGTGCATGGGAAGTTTCCTTAGCTTAGTGGCTGTGGTAAAAATTTACTCGGGAGGGAAACGGGTTTGACACACATGATAAAACTCCCAGTTTAACTCAAAATATACCCCAGTGGTTGACGGAAACCGGGATACAACAAAGACTTAAAATGCTCAATGCAAACAAAGCAGTGGGTCCGGATAACCTGCACCCCAAGGTACTTAAGGAATTAAGCCAGGTTATTGATTACTGCAGGGGTAGGCAAGTTTGGCACTTCAGCTGTGGTGAAAATACAAATCCCACCATGTCTTTGCCTCTAGGGGTCATACTTCTGGCTGTCTGAAGCTAGCAATTCCTTATGAGACTTGTAGTTCCACAACAGCTGGAGTGCAAAGGTTGCCCACCCCTGCATTACTGGAATAGCCGAAAGACAATAGACTTTGCAATCTATCCACCCGCTGTGATGTCAATCAATACTGCACCGCTTGTAGTCCGAGTCAGATTGTAGTCAGAGGCAGCGGCCCCTCAAAATAGAGGCACCTCACAGCAGATGTGCCAGTCGCAGATACAATATATTATCCTTATCACATATTGTACATGTATATAAATATTACCTGTTGCATGCAGCATGTGTTACCACTAGGGGATGCTGTGCAGCCATACAGTACGTACTTTATATTACACCCAATAAAAGTCTTATAATTAAGTTGATCTTTTTTTCTTGAAAAATCAGTTAAAAATAACTGCCATGAGTGAGGTTGCTATTTTATGACACACAGTATAAAGAAGTGCCTCTAATATCTGAATTGTCCAGTGAACATTGCGATTGCAACCTAATTCTAAAATGGAACTCTCCACAAGAATTTGAAATGGTTCAGATTAGACTCTTCGTATTGATTACATTGTGTGGTAGTACTGCATGAGATGTTGTCTAATGACATTGTTGTAGTAACAGTAAGAGAACTCCAGGCAAATAAAGTCTTAACCCTTGCAGTGGGGCTGCGCCTACTTCTATACAGTCTATAGCAGTGGTTCTCAACCCGTGTAACCTCGGGACCCACATGTTTCCTTGGTCATTAAGGCGTGACCCAAAAATGATTTCATTTCTGAAACATTTAAATTTATTACTCAAAACAACTTGTGCAGTATTCAGCAACATTATATATATAT